TCGCACCAGGTACTATTTTCAGGCTGAGTCGACCAAGAGGAGGCCCAGGACCGGTTCTGATAATCGTCACTGGGTGTTGGCCGTGAGCGGGAATCGAACTTGGATCGCCGGGTTCGTAGCGCAGACCGCTACACACCCCATCGGATTGCGCATCTCACCGTCGGGGTGAGTTGTGGGGCTGTGGACAGGACCTGGGGCTCACAGTTGCTCGACTCAATGTTCAACATTTTCTTTCTCCCTGCCCCCACCCCCCCCCCGCCGCCTCCCTGCCCCCCACCCCCTCTGCGCGTGCCCCCAGCGCTCCGCTTTGGGCAGCAGCTGCACGGTGTGGAGGCAGCGCAGCAGAGCTGGGCTGGGACCCTGAGAGCCAACGTGGCGCTGCTAGAGGTGGCACCACGCGCACACACACGGCCACCAACAAACAAAACAAAAACCTCACCACGCAGCTCCAACCTCACCACGCAGCGACAACCTCACACGCAGCAACAACCTCACCACGCAGAGACAACCTCACCACGCAGAGACAACCTCACCACGCAGCGACAACCTCACCACGCAGAGACAACCTCACCACGCAGCGACAACCTCACCACGCAACGACAACCTCACCACGCAGCGACAACCTCACCACGCAGAGACAACCTCACCACGCAGAGACAACCTCACCACGCAGAGACAACCTCACCACGCAGAGACAACCTCACCACGCAGAGACAACCTCACCACGCAGAGACAACCTCACCACGCAGCGACAACCTCACCACGCAGCGACAACCTCACCACGCAGAGACAACCTCACCACGCAGCGACAACCTCACCACGCAGAGACAACCTCACCACGCAGCGACAACCTCACCACGCAACGACAACCTCACCACGCAGCTCCAACCTCACCACGCAGAGAACAACCTCACCACGCAGCGACAAACCTCACCACGCAGCTCCAACCTCACCACGCAGAGACAACCTCACCACGCAGAGACAACCCTCACCACGCAGAGAACAACCTCACCACGCAGAAGACAACCTCACCACGCAGCGACAACCCACCACGCAGCTCCAACCTCACCACGCAGAGACAACCTCACCACGCAAGAGACAACCTCACCACGCAGAGGACAACCTCACCACGCAGAGGACAACCTCACCACGCAGCGACAACCTCACCACGCAGCGACAACCTCACCACGCAGAGACAACCTCACCACGCAGCAACAACCTCACCACGCAGAGACAACCTCACCACGCAGAGACAACCTCACCACGCAGCGACAACCTCACCACGCAGAGACAACCTCACCACGCAGCGACAACCTCACACGCAACGACAACCTCACCACGCAGCGACAACCTCACCACGCAGAGACCAACCTCACCACGCAGATACAACCTCACCACGCAGAGACAACCTCATCACGACGCTGGCGCTCGCGAGGACTGCCAGTCTAGGTCTAACAGCGTCCACGAATCACCACCAGTCAAGACAAAGATCCCCCGTGTAGGCCGCAACACTGTTGGGGCAAGTGCTGTTAGCGAGCACCTACGCACGAGGGGGCATGGCCAGCACCACGCCCGGCTGCCTTTGTCTCCCTCGTGGCGATGTTTACACACTGCACCAGGTACTCATTTGAGGCCAAGTCGATCTAGAGGAGGCCCTGGACCGGTTCAGATAAGTCACTGGTGTTGACCCCGTAGCGCAGCGCGCTAAACACTGTGCAGCCGCTCCCCACAACACCATTACCACCACCGTCATCTCACCACCACCGTCACACCACCACCACCCTCACCTCACCACCACCGTCACACCACCGCCACCATCACCCTCAACACCACCGTCACACCACCACCACCGTCCACACCACCGCCCACCATCACCTCAACACCACCGTCACACCACCACCACCGTCACACCACCACCACCATCACCTCAACACCACCGTCACACCACCACCACCGTCACACCACCATCACCTCAACACCACCGTCACACCACCACCACCACCCCTCCTCTCGCCACACAGATGGAGCAGTCGCTCAAGGAGAACGTGGCCTCTGTGCAGACAAACTTCGCCACCCTTGAGGCACGGGTGACGAAACTGGCCAGTGAAGAAGAGGAGACAAGAGGAGACGAGGTGAAGGAGTCAAAGAAAGAAAAGAGAAGTGGTGGCGGCGAGGTACGGATGAAGCGTGCAGCAGAAGAGCCGGTGACCAGATGTGACCAGAGGTGACGGCTTTGCACTTCAATCCGTGTCCTCGTTTGCAGCCTTCAGGGCACATTCACGAAGCCCGTCCCCCCCCCCCCCCCCCCCCCCCCCATCAGCGCTCTCACGCGACGGACAGCCCCCGTCTCCAGATGGAGGAGGAACGCAGTCCCGTCCTCACGCCGCTCCGCCATCAGCACCACAAAGCAACCACGGCGCGTTGGCAGCACCGCCGCCCCCTCCAAAATAAACAGAGTGGCAGTTCACCACCCACCCACCGACCAATACCACCCACCCACCACCACCCACCCACCACCACCACCACCACCCACCCACCACCACCGTCTGTCTCACGCTCCGCTCACTCGCTCGTTCGGTGAACCCCACGTGGAGTCAAGAGAGGTGGTGGTGGGTAGAGAGCCGTCTAAAACGCGTCCATCCTTTTTATTTTCCCTCGCCTGCCGTTTTATTGTAAATGTTAATTTCTTTGCATGAAACAATTCGGGGAACATAACGCTTGGCAGGGGAGTGCCTCTGGAGTCTGCGGGACTATGAGGAGCCGGTGAGGGGGGGGGGAGTGAGGGGGGGGGAGAGTGAGGTGGGGGGGAATGAGGGGGAGGGGGGGGGTCTGTCCATCTAGCCATCCATCCGTGAGCCATACCATCTGCGAGCCACCGCGCGGGTTTTCCAAAGAGCCCAGGAGACACACGTGCAGGAGGTCCGGCTGCGTGGGAGGGTTTACGGATCGCGCACAGATGGGAGCCGACCGACCACTCCGGCTCCACGGGGCGGTACAGCAAGCAGGCCTGTGGCAGGCCCGTGCGTGCGGTGTTTGAGGATTGTCGTCCTCTGCATTGCCTCCCCCAAGGGAGATTATTTAAACACTCAAATAAGATAACTGGCCGAAACATCCCATGCAGGACCCTCCTGAAAAAAGAGTGGCGCCGTCGGCAACGCCTTCCCCACGGTAAATATTCCCAAACAACAGCAGCAGCAGGGTGCATCATTTGCAAACGGTGTGGGGTGGGTGGGTGGATGTTTGGGGTGCAGCAAGAGAAACAAAAACCAGACTTAACGATGTTTCACTTTTGTTTAAATCGCAACGCGAAACGCCCTTTTGGAGAGAGATAAAAAAAACCTGTCGCAATCAGCTTATCGGGAGACGCACGCAATTCCTCCCCGCCCCACGCCCTGAGCGACCAGTTGCGCAATTTGGTGGCATGCCAATGAAATCTCTCGGCGCCGCGTGGACGTGCTCTGGTGGCCAACTGGGAGCGGCCGCTCGCAGGAGCGATGCGGCACGATCCGACGACTCTCGACTTTGGGTTATTAGCGCAACCGATCGTTCAGTATTGACCCCCCCCCCCGAATTTACAGCGAGGACTGAGGGTGATGGGTAAAGGGACAGGGGGAGAGTTGAGGGAAGGGGGCAGAGAGAGGTTGGCAGTGGGGTATGAGGTGGCTGGCATGGCTACCCGGGGGTCAGGGGTTAAAGAGGTACCCACAGAGCAGCCGAGCTGAGCACCCGCAGTGTGTGTGTGAGGGTGGAGTGCGAGATGGCTATAGCCACACCCCGTACAAAATAGATCTGCTCTTCTTTCACCCTAGGTTCGCATGTACATATACAATCATATAATTCTATACATCTCTATACATTTGTGTGTGTGTTGTGTTGCGTCGCAGCCTCTGTGCCATGATAAACCATTAAACATGTTGTTAGGCCCAAAATAAGAATGTCAATAATAATGATGACAGAAGAAACTTTTTTTGAGAAACATTAGTTTTTTTTCTTCTTCTTGTTTTTGAATCCTTTTTTTACCTTACAATTTACCAGGAGCAGCGAAGAGACCTGCAGGGCCCCCCCCCCCCCCTCCCACCACCCCCCTCCTCGGGCGACGTCACTACAGCAAACCCATTATTAAAAGATACAAAAAGAACAAAAATAAAGGGACTAGAAATCTCGTAAACACGGTACAATAAATAGATTAACACCCCCTCCCCTCCCCCCACGAGAAACCAGCGGTGGCGATGGCGGCGATGAGGAAGTGGGGTTGTTGGTGGCGGTGGGGAGCGAGGGGGGTGCAAAGCCGCACTTGATTCGCCATCCATATTCCCTGCTGCAGTCCCTCATGCATCCCCCATCAGCTGATTCCCCCCCCAAGGTGACCTCACAGACCCCCCCCCCCCCCCCACCTTAGTACCCTCCCCAGCCTACGCCCCCCTCCCGCTCACACTTGGCCGTGTCTCAATCTCCACCCCCCCACCCACTCTCCAAACCCAACGTGTTTCAAGTGCAAAGCATAACAGGCTGAGGTTTCCGAATTTCAAGTTACCAACGAACGGATGAATCGGTTTGTTTATATTTTCTACATTTATATATGTACACATATTACAAAGGCGAGCGCGTTCCCGTGTGAAATCTGCGCGCGTCCGTACAGACGAGACGGGCGAAGGTGCGGGCGGGCGGGCGGCAGAGGCCGCTCTCCCACGCAGCCCGGACAAAAATAAACCACGTCGCAGCCGAGCGCGGGGAAGGTGAATTTCCACTGAGCAAGAACCCAGAATCTGGAACCCCGGGAACGCAGAAACCGGAATGGGAGCCATCTCCAGGAAGTCTTTCACAATCCGCAACAATAAGATTGTGTGGGCAAAATGTCACCCACCGAACCCAAACCAAACGACAACAAATTGAAATAAAAGAGGACCTGTCCAGGAGCAAAACGAAAAAGAGGTTCAAACGAATATCAAAGGCTGGATTCGAGGCAGTGCCCCTACTAAAGACTTTTATATTCATTCCATCATCACGACCTCTGCTCCTCGCACGTCTTTAATGCCATCTCGGTCTGGTTCCAGATCTGGATTCGTCTCGGTGTGCAGAGTCCAATTCCAGTCGTACGGTCCGGCTCAAGTGTGAGGGGGGGGGGGCGCGCCCCAGCCACGCTAAGCGATTCACAGGGCCGCCCCGATTGGCTGTAAATCCCGAGCGGCGGTCGGTGTGGCTTAGTGGTTTTGTGGCGTTGACCAAGTCGCTAGGCCCGGTGGCCTGGGTGGCAGCGATGCGGGCGAAGGAGGCGGGCGGGGCCGGTGGCGCGGCAGTGCGCTGTCATTGGCTGGCGTCCTCCCTCCCCCCCCGCAACTCCGGGAGGTCGCAGGGTTGGTGGTGGGGGGGGTGAGGTGCGGCGACCCGGTCAGAGGTCACGTCACCTCCATGGGGGCAGGCTTGTCGGCGAGGCTGCTCAGGGAGCCGAGGTCGGCCTCGTGGCTCTCCCTGCACACGAAACACAAAGATCCCCCGTGTAGTTTCAACAGACTGTTGGGGCAAGTGCTGTTAGCGAGCAGCGCCTACGAAGGCCGGCACTGTGGCACACGAGGGGGTGGGTGGCCAGCACCACGCCCGGCCGCCTTTGTTTCCCGAGTGGCGATGTTTACACACCGCACCAGGTACTCATTTGAGGCTGAGTCAACCTAAGGAAGGCCCACGACCGGTTCAGATAATCATCACTGGTGTCGGCCATGAGCGGGAATCAAACTCGGGTCTCTGCCACGTTCGTAGCGCAGTGCGATAACCGCTCTACCACCGCTTCCCACACATGCATAGACACACACGCGTACACGCACAAGCGCACAGATACCCCAAACAGCGCACACACACGCGCGGATGCACGCACGCACACAGACGCGATGTGCTTGCACGAACACACGGACGTACACACGGCCGTCATCACAACTCTGCGCGCTCGTGACTGTGAAGTGTGATGAGGGTGCGCGTTGGCGACGCGAGCGATGGTGCAATGTGCATTTGAGAGGGCGCAGAGGAGAGAGAGAGGTAAAACCAAGGTGAGCGATGCGATTTAATTAGAGCAAAGATGAGTGAAGCTCTTTGTGACGTGACGGGGGAGTCTTACAATTCGAGCCAAACAAAACGAACCCTTGCATGCCCAACCGTCACTGACGCAATAAAGGTGGACATACTTGTTGCAAGTACGTCTGTTAAGACCAGCACGTGTGTAAATGTTATGTTCAGTACTTGCGTACAACAAGTACGTCTGTTACGACCAGGACGTCGCGTACAACCTAACCAGTCACCGTCAGGACCAGCACGTGTGCGCGCACGTGACCAGTCTGTCCGTACGACCGGTAGACACGCGTCACCGCGCGAGCCACTCCCCGCTCACCGTGCCGCCATGGCGAGTTTCAACGCCCCCGGCGACGGCGCCGGCGCCACCGCCAGCGCCCGAGGCGGCGGTGCCGCCGCCGCCGCTCCGTGCGGAGGCCGCGGCGCCGCGTGCGCGTGCAGGGGAGCGCCGCCGCCGGGCAGCGGCGAGGAGCAGCCGGCCGGGCGCGAGCAGGGCGCCGGCGCCGACACGGGCACCGGCACGGGCGCCGGGCGGGCGTGGTGAGGCCGCGGCGCGTGCTGCGCCGGCACGGCCGCGAGGGGCCGGACGCCGGAGAGCTGCACCGTCGCCGTCCTCGCGTACACCGGTTGCGCCGCCGACGCCATGACCGCGGCGGCCTTGCTCGCGACGTGAGCCATCGCCACGCCGCTGCCGACGGCGTGCGTCGCCATGGCGGCCCGCACCAGCGGCTGCGCCGGGATGCAGCTTCCCGTTTGCGCCATCGTGCCCGGTTGCTGCAGTTGCTGCTGCAACTGATGCTGCTGTAACTGTTGCTGGTGCTGTAACTGCTGCTGATGGTGTTGTAACTGCTGCTGCTGCTGCTGCAACTGCTGCTGGTGCTGCAGCGCGGCCACGGTCGTCGGCTGCTGTGGGATGGCGCCGCCCGCGCCGGCGAGCTGATGCTGGTGCATCGGGCCCACGTGTCGCACGGCCGCCAGCGCCGTGGGCTGTTGCGCCGACGGCCCTCCGCCGCCCAGCGCCACCGAGGCCCCGGGGCCCACCGGGAGGCAGTTGGCGAGGCTGGCGGGGAGAGGCACCGTGCCCGCCAAGGTGCCGGCGCGCGCTGGAGAGAGGGCGCCGGTGACCGCTGCGGCGCCGCCGCCCGACGCTAGCGGCAGTGCGTCGGTGGGGCCCAGCAGCGCCGTGACGGCGAAGAGGGCGCCGGCCGAGTCCAGAGTGTTCCCCAGACAGGGGCCCTGAGAGAGGCGAGGTGAGCAGAGTGGGAGTTGAGTGGAGAAATTAATATGGGGGGAGGGGGGGGGGAGAGATCAGAAGACGAGAGAGATAAGAACGGAGGCGAGAGAGGTGGGGGGTAGAGCGAGAGGAGTATGATATGAAGGGGGTGTGAGAGACAGATGATAAGGCAACAGATGACGAGGTTAAGAAGAGATGCGAACACCAGGAGAAAAGAGAGGACTAGATGGAAGAGGACACGTGAGAAATTTACAAAGATCAATCACCATATGATAAGGAAACACTAATGAACTCCTTTTATCTGTGGCTGTCGAGTCCTTTAAAAACTCCTGAAATCTGTGGGTTTACTCTGATTATCTGCGATTATCCACCATGCCGATTACTCGTAATTTTTTGTACTTAAGAGTCACACGGAAAATTACTCATTATCCTGCAAATGACTCATTATCCGTGGGGTTATCGGTAATTTAATAAGTACATAAAAATGTGCCGCGATCAAAGCAAGTGCAAATTTGGCGCACTTATTTTGATAATGAGCCAACACAGACACACACATAACCACGGAGACACAGAGAGAGACAAGAAGACATGTAACCACAGAGACACAGAGTGAGACGGAGACTGATACAAAGCCAAAGAGGCATACACTAATAAGGGGGGAGACACACAAACAAAGACTGTCCCGTTTAACCTTTTAACAGGCTGTAGGAGCAAGTGGCGTTAGCGAGCACCTACGAAGGCCGGCACGGGACACTAGGGGGTGGGTGGCCACAGCACCATGCCCGTCCGCCTTGAGACACACATACAGACACAAAGACACAGATATGAAGACAAAGATATGTCGACACAGACATGGAGATGCATACTAAGGAGACACAGAGACAGAATGAGACACACGCAATTAATTTCACGGATAAGTTAATTTACCCAGCAGATTCATCCTCTCACCCGCGATTTACCACGTGGATAAGAAGAAAATCGCAGACAATAAGATCCACAATATTGATCCCCCATATAACCGTGGATACGAGGATTATTATATATATAAATTACTATCAACCTATATGCCAAACGTAACATTAAGGCTAAACTAGACAGCTGCACTCGGGAAGAAAAATCCATCTTTTTTTTAAACAAAGCGGGAAGATTGAAGACAAGCCGCGCGATTGACAACGGCAAACGGCGACTGCTGCGGTGAACAGCACCCCCCAAATCCTCCCCCCGCCCCCCCGTACCTGTTGCTGCTGGTGCAGCGAGTGGGCGGCGCTCTGCTCACGCTGCATGTCCGCCACTTGCTGCTGGTGCCTCGCGTACTGCTCCTGCGTGAAGCCTGCGGCGGCGGGGGGAGAGTCACCGCATTTAGCCACGACAGGCCGACTCGCGCCTTCCAACGTTTGACAACGATCCCCGGGGCAGAACTTTGGACGCCCGTGATTGGGGCGGCTTTGTGGAGGAGGGGGGCATTGGTGGACAGCGTTAAGAGATATAAATGTGTCGTTAAACCCGCCACCACCCGACACAGCCAATTGGTAAGGTTGGTAACGTAACCAAAACATGCCAAAAACTAGGAACGTTTTGGCTGTCGGGTGGTGGCCGGTTTAACGACACATTTATATTCATGTCATCTAACTCAAAAACCTCTATTGTGAATAATAGTGGTCAGGAAAGCCTCCGACTATGTGTCAGGTGTCAAGCTGACCAGCAGATGATGACACAGCAAGTTGGTTCGTTCGAGAACCCATCAGTGATGATCTTATTTATTGCCAGAAAGGGTAAAACCTATTCTCTTATTTTTCATCCTCTTAGGGTCTTTCGGTAAAGATAGAAAATTAACTTTTAAAAATCACGACGTTTCGATCGCAACACAGGCAATCGGCTTCAGGTGAAGAAATACAGCAGGCCGACTGCTGAGGCCGGAGAAATGTTTATCCTGCCTCAGAGCAGTTCGCCTGATGTGTCTGCAGTCACGAAAGCTTTAAGTCAAGATTTATTTTTCATCGTTTTGGATTCTAGAAAAAAGGTTCCATCGATATAACTGTTGGACCTGAGCTTAAAGTGTTCTGATACTGGCATCGTCTGCATACTGTTTGCTTTTTGGCGATCTCTGCGCTGACACTGATGACACAAGGCCATAATAAGTATAACCCGTAAAAACAAAGTTTTTCACTCTAAATCCTTTATATGCGTGGCGGCTAGAGTCCTCTCGTCCTCTGGCTTGAGATGGCTGCCACCTATGGGTCAGATGATTGTCTGCAGTATTAAACAATTGGTAATTAAATATTTAATTTGTTTTCCCTAAAAAGTGTAAAATTTTGGAAAAATGTTTTCACGAACATTAATTGTCTCGCACAACGAGTCTGTGTGCAAAATGTCAGCTCGATTGAAGTGGGTTAAAAAACGACCAAAAGATTTGCACGGTCGTAAGCAAGCAAGCACGCACGCAAGCACGCAAGCAAGCAAGCAAGCGAACTTAATATAAAGGATTTAAAAAGAAGGCCATCTGTGGTGTAAGCCAATCAGTTTAAAAAACAATGCATATATATTATGAGAGCATGTTTGTTTGCAAGTTCTACCACAAGTATAACGTGTGATTAATGCAGTACTTGACGCCTTGCAAAAGGTATCTATTGGTGTGTGAACATCTTATTGCCAGAAAGGGTAAAATCTACTCTTATTTTCATCATCTTCTGAACGTTTATCCCCTTGTATGTGTATTGGGTTTGCTCTGGATTATCCGGTTTCCCCCACCATAAGGCGATATTTTCCTTAAACAGACCCCAAATGTCTTCTTGGTTCTTTCGGTAAAGTCACGTAGAAGGGAAGTAATAAAATAATAAAAATAAAACATAATAAAATCAAATAATACTCACGACGTTTCGGCTACAACGCAAGCTTATTATTTGATTTTATTATGTTTTATTTTTATTATTTTATTACTTCCCTTCTACGTGACTTTACCGAAAGAACCAAGAAGATGAATCCCTGCAGTCACGAAAGCTTTAAATCGAAATTTAGACCCCAAATGGTATCCATCTAACACTGTGTAATTGAAGTGCGCTCAGTCAATCATCTCACTGCAAGGGCCTCCTCACACTTGGCCGGCAGGCACGCGGTCATGAAGGTTTTTAGACGACGACACGAAGCCGTGCGCTAGTCTGTGGACCTGCGTAATAACAATGTACACGTGCAAGGCACGTTTCATCCACAGATCTCAATGCACGCCGTGCATGGAAAGCAGGAAATCAAGAGAACCAGGGTACACGGCCAGAACTCGGGGGTAAAGATGGCTTTAAAGAGGTAAACTTTCAAGACAGACTTAAATATGTCTCACGATTACAGTCTATTCTCCTATAACGTTGCATGTTTTCATCGCGCGAATTGCAGGTAACGCGATGAATGTGATCGGGAACACACAGAACGCGATTGAGTGAACAGGACTACGTCGCGCGAGTCCGAATCGACGGTTGTACGGCCGCCTCGGTGTGGCGTCACACGAGGCGAGATGCTACCCACAAGCCTCAGTCTTTGTTCAGCCTGCGCACGCATATCATGTGTTACCACGGACTGTGTTTTACCCTGCATTCAATATTATTCATTATACCATTTTTCCATGGCGCGGTGTTATTCTTCATGAACACAACTATCTCGTTATAGGAGAAGAGACTGGAAAAGCAAAGGCAAAATCGTTCCATGGTTTAGGAGCTGCACTTGCAAAAGCCCGACCACCCCGGGACACGAGCCTTGACCTCGGCAGTACTACGGAGGTGATCTGAAGATTCCTCAACCAGGAACCTCGTCCCTCACGTTTCCCTCCCACGGCGTCTCACGGCGTCTCACCCCCCCCCCCCGCCATCTCCCCCCCTCCCACCCCGGCGGCGGTGACTCTCACCTCCGTGGTCCGTGGCCGCGTGCCGCGCCCCGCCGCCGTGCCGTGGCCGCTTGCCGGTGCCGGGGTGGGCGGCGGCGGCGGCGCCGTGCCGCGGGCGGTAGTGCGGGCAGCGCGCGGCGCGGATGTCGGCGAGGAGGCAGCTGAGCGGGTCGGTGAGGGCCGGGTGCGGCGAGGGCGCGCCGGGCTCGGCCGGGCTCGGCAACGCCGCCCGCTCCTCCTCCCCCTCCCGCTTCTCTCGCTCCTCTGCGCCGCCGTCCGCGCTCAGCCTCCACAGGAGGCCGTCGAGCGGCGAGCGCAAGCGGTCAAGGAGCAGCCTGAATGCACGGGGGGAGCGGCAGCGGTCGGTACAATCGGGTTTGGCGTGGGAGGTTTGATTCAGGCTACGCTTTGCCCATGGAGTGTTTCTGGGGTGCCTGTTTGTTGTGGTTAACTTCATACCTGGTGCTGAGTTTGCATGCGTGGTGGTGGAGGTGGCGTTGGTGATGGTGATGGTGGTAGCGGTGGTGATGATGGTTGTGCGTGGTTATGGCGGTGGCGGTTGTGCGTGTGGTTATGACGGTGGCGGCAGTGGTCACCTCCCGCCTCGCCCGACGCGCCGTCGTGCGAGCCCCATGCAGCGCGGCGGCGACGACAGCGACGTGAGGCTGTAGCCACGCGCGCCGCCTCTGCCGTTGTCATCGTCGCTGGCCGCCTGCCCGCTCGGTTCGCCGTCCCGGGGCTGTGTGGCACAAGCAGGAGAGCCGGTAAAAGGGGGAGAGAACTGGTTAACAGGAGAAACCGATGGGGAGGATTGTTGAGAGCAGATTCGCTTTAGAAGAGAACCGGTGACGGGACGAAGGGGAAACAGGAGAACCGCTGAGGGGGAACGGGTGATAAGAGGGCAAGGAGCAACAGAGACGATCTGCTGCTGTTGCTGTAGCACTACTTCGGCACAGAGACACAACAAGCGCGGTGCGTCGTGAGCTCGTGAGGAACGCAGTGTGGTGCGCAGTGTGGTGCGCAGCGTGGTGCACAGTGTGGTGCACAGCGTGGTGCGCAGCGTGGTGCACAGCGTGGTGCACAGCGTGGTGCACAGCGTGGTGCGCAGCGTGGTGCACAGTGTGGTGCAGTGTGGTGCACAGTGTGGTGCGCAGTGTGGTGCACAGTGTGGTGCGCAGTGTGGTGCGCAGTGTGGTGCACAGCGTGGTGCACAGCGTGGTGCACAGTGTGGTGCACAGTGTGGTGCACAGTGTGGTGCACAGCGTGGTGCACAGCGTGGTGCGCAGCGTGGTGCACAGTGTGGTGCAGTGTGGTGCACAGTGTGGTGCGCAGTGTGGTGCACAGTGTGGTGCGCAGTGTGGTGCACAGCGTGGTGCACAGCGTGGTGCACAGTGTGGTGCACAGCGTGGTGCACAGTGTGGTGCACAGCGTGGTGCACAGCGTGGTGCACAGTGTGGTGCACAGCGTGGTGCACAGTGTGGTGCACAGCGTGGTGCACAGCGTGGTGCACAGTGTGGTGCACAGCGTGGTGCACAGTGTGGTGCACAGCGTGGTGCACAGCGTGGTGCGCAGCGTGGTGCACAGTGTGGTGCACAGCGTGGTGCACAGTGTGGTGCACAGCGTGGTGCACAGTGTGGTGCACAGTGTGGTGCGCAGCGTGGTGCGCAGCGTGGTGCACAGTGTGGTGCGCAGCGTGGTGCGCAGCGTGGTGCACAGTGTGGTGCACAGCGTGGTGCGCAGCGTGGTGCGCAGTGTGGTGCGCAGCGTGGTGCGCAGTGTGGTGCGCAGCGTGGTGCACAGTGTAGTGCACAGTGTGGTGCACAGTGTGGTGCGCAGTGTGGTGCGCAGCGTGGTGCACAGTGTGGTGCACAGTGTGGTGCACAGTGTGGTGCACAGTGTGGTGCGCAGTGTGGTGCGCAGCGTGGTGCACAGTGTGGTGCACAGTGTGGTGCACAGTGTGGTGCACAGTGTGGTGCGCAGTGTGGTGCACAGTGTGGTGCGCAGTTTGGTGCACAGTGTGGTGCACAGTGTGGTGCACAGTGTGGTGCGCAGTGTGGTGCGCAGCGTGGTGCACAGTGTGGTGCACAGTGTGGTGCACAGTGTGGTGCACAGTGTGGTGCACAGTGTGGTGCACAGTGTGGTGCGCAGTGTGGTGCACAGTGTGGTGCGCAGTTTGGTGCACAGTGTGGTGCAGTGTGGTGCACAGTGTGGTGCACAGTGAGGAACGCAGTGTGGTGCAGTGTGGTGCACAGTGTGGTGCACAGTGAGGAACGTGCAGCTTTGTGTGCACTCTAAGTGTGTGGGTGGCGGAGTTAGGCATGGCGGCGTGTGCAGAGCATCGTGTGTATGCGGTTACGGTGCAATTTTGTGCCGTGATGTATGGTGCGTATATATTTAGTATTGGTGTGGTGGTGGGGTGGGGGGCGCATCTCACCGCGTGGTAGAGGCACCCGGCGACCCGGCGGAAGGTGAACGTCCCGTCGGGACCGTTCTCTTGCTCCGAGTCGGATGACGAAGACTGAACCTGCAGAGCGAGATGAGCGGCCAGTCGCACTTTAGCCAACACACTGGGACCCAGGGCCAGCCCACTGGGCTCTATCAGGCATCCACAGGACAAGCATTCAGGGTTCTAAAACCAGCCTTCAGGGGGATTCCAGGAAGTCTGCCACACCCTGTCACAACACCGCTATGCTGCACGTTCACCAAGCAAAGATGACGATCCCCTTCGTAGCCTTAACAGACTGTAGGGGCAAGTGCTGTTAGCGAGCACCTATGAAGGCCGGCACGGCACACGAGGGGGTGGGTGGCCCGCACCATACCCAGCCGCCTTTGTCTCCCCGGTGGCGATGTTTTACAATCGCACCAGGTACTCGTTTGAGGCTAAGTCGACCAGGACCGGTGAAACTAATCGTCACTGGTGTTGGCCGTGAGCGGGAATCAAACTTGGGTCGTCAAGTTTTTAGCACCATGCGCTAACCGGTACACCACCGCTCCCCACACACGCTCACTCACACCACACAGCACCGCCACACCACCTCACTCGCTCGCAGGCACCGCCACGACCGCGCCTCCGCCTGGCTCACCGGTGCCGGGGACTCGTCGCCGGAGCTGTGGAAGTCGTATTGGTTGAGGTCCTTCAGGTTGAAGGTCGGGGCCGGCGCGGGGGTGACGGCGCTGGCGGCCGGTGGCGTTGCTGCGGCACGGCCGGCACCTGGGCGGTGCTTCTGGTGCTCGTACTTGCGCTTGGGCCGCCCAGGCTGACCTGGCTCCTACATTCAGGAGACGATGGGACGACGGGGTCAGAGGATTGGCAAAGAATTCCATTGGCTTACCGGCGCACTATGAGGATTATGAATAAACGATCGAGCCGATTGAGTAACGTACGATCATCAACTGCGGGTGTGACCGGTGGACTGACGTACGTTTACGAATGTGGGAACCAATCCATTGGTTAACCCAGGGTACGGAAAGAGTGTCCAGCCTGGGGCGGGGGTAGGTTAGGCGAGCGAGCGCGCGCGCGCAGGAGTGGTGGCCGGCACTCACCCGGTGCGCCTTGTAGTCGACGTGGTGGTAGGGGCTGCCCCCGTTGAGCAACGTCGGCGGGGAGGCCGGGGAGTGGGCAGGCGCCTCCTGCTGCCGCTGCGACAGCACCTCGGCGAGCATGTCCCCGTTCAGGTCTCCGGCCTCGTACCTGGTCAGCGAGGTGAGGGGGGGGGCGATGATGGCAGCAAAGCAATATGACTGACGAGCTACATTCAACCTGGTAAGGACTTTGATACACTTTAGAAACCGACATTACCTATGTAATAGAATGCATGGCTAGTGTGGGTTGCGTTGGGGGCATATGTCACGCACAATGTCACACTCGCGCACACAGACTGACACTCACACACAGTCTCTCACACACGGTCACACAATCACTTAGTCTCACTCACAAAAGACAAAGATCCCCCCTATAGCCATAACAGACTCGTGGGGCAAGTGCTGTTAGCACATAAGTGTCACACACACGCAGTCTCACGCACGCAATCTCACGCACGCAGTCTCACGCACGCAGTCTCACGCACGCAGTCTCACGCACGCAGTCTCACGCACGCAGTCTCACACACGCAGTCTATCGCTCGCACGCACGCACACGCGTGTGCTGGTGGCGGCGGTGGGCACCTCTTGACGGCGACCTGCAGCGTGAGGTGCAGGAGCTGGCGCTTGTTGGCCTCGCGCCGCTTCACCATCTCCAGGATGGTGACGGCGCGACTCAGCTCGCGGCGCAGACGCAGCATGCGCTCGTACGACGCCTCCTCGTTCTTGCGGTTCTGGCGACGGGCACGGGGGTGGGTTGTTTTTTTATAATAATGATAACAGTTAAAAAAGAGTTGTGTTGCTGAGGGACTTCCCCGTGTAGGAGACCGGCCAAATCGCCCAGCACTTGCAAGACAAAAACTAGCGCCAAAATCAATGCTACTTCCCACTCCACCTCCGATGACGTCACCGCACGATGTCATCTCGCCACCTCGCGGCACCACGCGCCGTGTGTGACATCATCTTGTTGTGCGGCTTGCCACGCAAAGTCGCGAACGCTTATTGAAATATACTTCCGAGGGCAATGGTGCGTTAGAAAGCATTACAGAACGCAAGCGTATGCACGGTTCTTCGTTTTGTCTATTTCTCCAATGATATTTTCGCCTCCGATATGCCCATCGTGGCGCATGACAAAGAATCTGTTCGGATATCTCACCAAGCAATGCAGCTACCGAGTTAGAGAGCAGCCCACGGAAGCGGATATCACAGAACTACCACCTCTTGAGATAGCTTCAACTGCCCTCTGGTTCACACACAGGAGGCGGCGGCACCGTGCCACGCAATATGCTGCGGAAAACAGTAACGTTCTTCGCGCGACGAGTCAAATCGACACAGAGGGACGGTCTCCCGTTTACGACGGTCCAATTTAGTAAGATCCACATTCATGACATTTATAAATAACGCCACCATGGATCTATTTACGATGCAGAAACTTGATTTACGACGCATCTTCTGGCATGGCTCCGAATGTGTTTGAACAGAACCGGTCTTTGGTTTCCGACGTGACTTGGCGTGGAGCTTTTGTTATCTTCCAGTGTTAGGGTGGGTTTCTTTAACCTATTAAACCCCGTCAAATACGGCCGGTAAAAAGGAAATACACATCGGCAAGTATGTTTCTACCGTTTCTACTGTCTATGGAAAAATAAGGTCCGATTTCCGACGATACAATTTACTACGTGGGAGTGTCGCGTGGATTTTTCTCCGGGTCCTCCGGTTTTTCCCCTCCACGATTAGAATCGACGTGATAAGCCACTTCACTGGGCTGTTATTTGTGATAGCCAGGTCACTTCTGAAAAATACAACTCAGTGGGCCTTACCTGGTAAAATAAAAAAAGTCGTAAAATCGGGAGCGCCTGTGTATATATATATACTTATTTAATTTATGTTTGTTTAATTTTCAGACCTTGCGCGTCTGCATCTTCTCCGTGCGCCGGCGGAAGGCCACGTAGGGGTTGTGGTTGTGGTTGTTGCTGTTGCTGCCGGCCGGCGTGGCAGGAGCGTCGCGCCGGTCCTGCCGCACCGAGGGCATGAGCGAGCAGCCCCGGCAGCGCCGCCGCTTGTTGCGCCAGTACTCCCACACCTGAGCGCCGCGGACGACGAAAATAGGAGGGCGGAGGACGACGAGGATGAGGAGGGCGACAAGGTCAGAGCGCGCGCGTAGGAACGACGGTCCCGACGCAAATTTCAAAACAACGGCAGAGATGTGGTGTAGGCGTCACTGCTCACATCGTTGCCAATGTGGGCAACAACACGTGGGCTTATCAACGATTAGCACGGTTGGATCGCATCGACGATAAGCACGGCTGGCTACGTACGGTGCAAAAGAAGTTCAAGATACGCACGTTCATCAACGGCGATAACGACGATGTGAGAATTACGCACATGGTCGAGGATGTGGACACGTCACACAATATCGTCAACATCATCATCATCATGGATGTGGGAGTCACGCTAACCATCATCAAACGTCGATGAACACCGTCATAAAAACATCGAACAATGTGGGCATTAAATTGACGTACGGTTAAAAATCAGAATTAAACAATAGGCTTGTTATTACAATTGTTAACACTCGTCATCATTAAGTACCAAAATTATGCATTAGAATTGGTGTATTAGTACCTCCTCTATCAGCTCATTCTCCTCCTGCAGCAGTAGCCGAGCCTCTGCAAGCGTGACGGACTGCACACACAAACACAAGGAGACACGCACGCACACAAAAAAAAATTCACATCCCCGTATAGCCGACATTGACTGTTGGGGCAAATACTTTACAAGCGAGCACATATTAAGGCCTCCATGGCTCATGAAGGGGTGGTGCAGACAGCACCACACCTGGATAGCTTTGTCTCCCCAGTGCCGATGATTACACACTGCACCTTGTGCTCATTTAACGCCGAGTCGAGCTAGGCGAAATCCCAGCAATGATCCAGATATCAAAAGCCACTGATATTAGTCGTGGCCGGGAACTAAACTTGGGCCTCCGTGTTCAAAGCGCAACACACTAACCAACAACACTATTGCTCCACAAACAAGACACGGACACAAAGGCAAGCCAACACACGGAGAGCTATCTATAAACAGTAGGTCATGGGTACCCTGATGGCTGTATAATTGGAGTTTTCATGTTCTCCCCGTGGCTACGTGGATTTTTCTCCGGGGCCTCCAGTTTTTTAAATCCTTTATATTAAGTTCGCTTGCTTGCTTGCTTACGACCGTGCAAACATTTCGGTCGTTTTTTAACCCACTTCCCGTGATCCAATCGAGCTGACATTTTGCACACAGACTCGTTGTGCGAGACAATTAATGTTCGTGAAAATTTTTTTCCAAAATTTTACACTGTTTAGGGAAAACAAATTAAATATTTAATTACCAATTGTTTAATACTGCAGACAATCATCTGACCCATAGGTGGCAGCCATCTCAAGCCAGAGGACGAGAGGACTCTAGCCGCCACGTATATAAAGGATTTAGAGTGAAAAACTTTGTTTTTACGGGTTATACTTATTTTACATTTAGAATCATGCGTCTAGCGTATTTGCCTGTGGTGGTCGGAGAGAGCCCACCAACAACCCAAACATAGCTAGGACATATATAATAATTATTATTATTACTAAGGAGGTAAACACACCTCACATGGCCTCATACATTTTGTTGTAAAATCAGAAATTTCGATAAGGAGCCTCCATTCCATGGAAGCAAAAAAAACAAGCTAGGCTTCACGGAGGCAGGCAAAGCACTGGGAAAAAAAGTTAAGATATTGGAACTGAACCTTAATAATACTGCGGTTGCCTTAGGCTATGAGCTTCACACACTATACTTTTTCATTACCATTAAAGTCAATGTTAATGGTGAAGAGGCAGGGCTGTGGTGCAATGGTTTGCAAGCGGTGCTTACGACCCATCGACCCGAGTTTGATTTTTGGTCACGGCTTACATAAGCAGTGGATTTCAGAATCGGCCCTTGGGTGTACCTCAACCAATTGGCCAGCGTGGTGAAGCATGGCCCAACAAGAAACCACGGCCGATACAGCATGGGGAGCCCGGCAGTGGATGCACAAAAGGACCATGCATATTGATGCATGTACATCATCTATATATGCAAGGGGAATTTGTGAAGATGTGTGTCTGTTTGAAATGTTTAGCATACTTCCCAACATGCAACAAACTTGAAATTTGGCATGTGGGTAGCTTCCAGACTGTACACAATGCAAAAAGTATAAAAATAGACTTTTGTATTTTGGGGGTTGGGGGTGTAATAATGGATATATTTTGCACGGCAAATGAGCGGTGACGTCACATCTGTGATGTCACCTGCATGCGGCAGCGTCACGCAGTGTGCCTGATGACGTCACCCCCCCCCCCCACCCTCCGTGTAGGCCGTGTATTAATCCAAGACAAGAATCCAAGTCTCGGGCGAAGCCGGGTAGTAAAGCTAGTTTATTTATAAACTAAGATAGATATACGCTATATTGACATGACGCGCTTTCCCAGTGCAAGGTCAATAACTATTATTTCAGCTCTGGGAGGAAATCGGTGAACCCGCAGGAAACCCATGCACACAAAATGGTGCCCCGGTCGGGAATCGCACCCAGGAACTTTCAGCTGCGGGGCACGAGTGTTACCCCTACGTCACCGCCTGCCGCCCTGATGTAACCGATGTAAACATCGATACCCTTATACATCTGGCCGTTCTCCGGCATTGATTCAGGCAGTACTAAATCAGCTAATAAAACACGATGTCGACACTGGTCCAGAGATTGGTTGTATTGAATCAATGCGGCTGAATTTATGAATTCCCGGATTGTGCGGCCGATGGGTTTTGTAAACAATATTTTTATACGGGTTTCTCTCGCTTTATGCAGGTTCGGTTAGTGCATTTTCGTGTATATGCGGCTAACCTATTTCTTCCCAAAATTCGCGATATTATACAGTTTGAAAGCACTCGTATGCGGCTATGTGGTTGGACGTGGGACACTGCGTGTAAACTGTACATGCTACTCAGCAGGCAGCTATCGCGAACACAGAGAGGACACATACACAGAGATACATGGAAATAGAGCTACAAAGACACAGACAGAGAGATACATACACATATAGATATACAGAAAGATACATACAGATACATTCACAGAGATACACACCAAAAAAAAGATTCCCCAAAGAGCCTTAACAGACTTTTGAGGCAAGTGCTGTTAGTGACTACCTATGAAGGCCGGCACCACGCCTTTGTCTCCCCAGTGGCGATGTTTACACACCGCACCAGGTACTCATTTGAGTCCGAGTCGGCCTAGGCGAGGCCCAGGACCGATCTAGAAAATCGTCACTGGTGTTGGCCGTGAGAGGGAATCGAACTCGGGTCGCCGGGTCCGTAGGGCAGCGCGCTAACCACTACGCTACCACTCCCCACCACACTGTGTGTGTACGTCACGCGCTACTCGGCAGGCAGCCGACTCCTCGTGTGGTTCCGCTTTTTGCGCCCTCTTCTTGGAACGCACCTCCTACGACCACCTCATCGAGCACGGGAAACCTGTATTGTCTACGTGCAGAGACAAATACGAAGGAGCCGTATTGTCTGCTTATCTATTTTGTTAACGTATACTCTCCCACGATGGTGATAATTTTACTAAAACTAAGTGCCCAGAGACTAATACTGTGCATAAAATAACTAAACTCAACTATTTTTTAGATTTTATCAGGTAAGGACCACTGAGCTATTTTGCTCTTTTTCAGAAGCTACCTGGCCACAAACGAGAGCCCAACAAAGTGCTCTGAACGCACGTCAATTCTACACGGAGGGAAAAAACCGGAGGACGCGGAAAATAATCCACGCGATCACGGGGAGAGAGAAAACGCAAACTCCAAATATACAAGCATGGTCCAAGTGGGGATCGAACCCACGACCTCCTATATACCAGACGAGGTAGTGACCATCTCTCCACCATGCTGAAAGCTTGATGAATCGAACTTAGATAATTAATTGATTATTTATACTTGGTGACTTGCTCACCATTTTTTCTATTTTGCACTGACGGTTGCTGTTTTTTAGCAATGTTTGCTGTCGCAACTCGTTGAATCGCCCAATCCCTGGACGTGTGTGAGAAGATCTTCATAGCGCATCGGATTCCCTCATTCCTCCAGTCCCAAACAAAGATTCTCGGTTCTGAACAATGATGATTTCGTGTCACCAAAAAATACAACACACCTGGCATGTGTGAGTGTGTGTGAGTGTGTGTGAGTGTGTGTGCTCAACGGACCGAAAGCCGCTGCGGTGGGGGCAGGGGGGGCGGTGGGGGTAGTGGGCGGGGGGTGGCGGTGCGGGTAGTGGGCGGGGGGGGGCGGTGAGGGTAGTGGGCGGGGGGTGGCGGTGGGGGTAGTGGGCGGGGGGTGGCGGTGGGGGTAGTGGGCGGGGGGGAGCGGTGAGGGTAGTGGGCGGGGGGTGGCGGTGGGGGTAGTGGGCGGGGGGTGGCGGTGCGGGTAGTGGGCGGGGGGGGGTGGTGGGGGTAGTGGGCGGGGGGTGGCGTGGTGGTAGTGGGCGAGGGGGGGGGGGCGGTGGGGGTAGTGGGCGGGGGGGTGGCGGTGGGGGTAGTGGGCGGGGGGGGGGGTGGCGGTGCGGGTAGTGGGCGGGGGGGGGTGGTGGGGGTAGTGGGCGGGGGGGTGGCGTGGTGGTAGTGGGCGAGGGGGGGGGGCGGTGGGGGTAGTGGGCGGGGGGGGGCGGGGAGGGTTAGTGGGCGGGGGGGGGGGGGGTCCCTCACCTGCATGCCACTGCCCTTCTCTAGGCGCTCCACCATGGCCTCCAGCTGTATCGGCGTGATGGGGTAGCGGCGGCCGGACCGTGCCAGGAACACCTCGTCCTCCGAGTCCAAGTCATACTCGGGCAGGTCCGGCTCCAGGCTCAGCGCTGTTGATGGAGATAGAAAAAACTGTTAAGACGATAAAACTATTTTTTATTCTACCCAGGTAAGGCCCACTTGAGCTGCGTGGATCTTTTTTCAGAAGTGACCCGGCAAAATGATCTGGCTTGATGATGGCTCGACTAAGTGGCTTATCGTCACGTGGAAATGTATAGCAGCCAAAGACTCTTAAATGCACGTCGATTCTAAAAGTGCAGAGGTAAAACTGGATGACCCGGAGAAAAATCCACGCGACCACAGGGAGTCAGGGTCAGGATCGAACCCACGAGATCCTGTATACCAGGCGAGGTAGTTAACATCTCGCCACTGTGGCAAGATGTTAACTACCTCGCGCACACACGGGATTTTGCGACGCTTTCAAAATTTGTCTGTATGTGCTCGTTAGTGTTTAATTGTTATTTATTAGCAGGCATGGGATCTTGTGGAACCTGAGTTCTTGTGAGTCTGGTGGAATGTGCCTCTGGTGACAGGTGGGTTCTGGTGGAATGCGGTTATGATAAGACGCTTGTTGTGGTGGGAAATATTTGTGGGGGCTTTTTGTGATGACTTCAAGTGGCTCTGGTGTCATGTGACAGGTCGCTGTAGAGAGGGAGGGTGGTGGAGTGGGGCAGGTGACGGGTGTGGTAGCAGCAGCAGCGTTACGCACGTGGCAGGCGGATCAGCTGCTTGGGCAGACGGTAGGTGCTGGGGTAGAGATCGTGGAAGTACGGCACGTTGCTCTGCGCCTCGGGCACGGGTATCACCATGCTCTCGCGCTTCTCGCCGTACGCCTGCTGCGCCGACATCGCCCGCTGCAGGTGGTGCTCCTGCACAGATGGACGGGCACGGCGGGGGAACAAACACGGTCAGCAGTTATTAAATTGAAGCAGAAAGCTCCGACTGCAACGGAGTGGGCAGCCAACGGAGCAACAGGGCTTTCGGTTATGAAACATGAACGGCAACGTTACCGTCATTATCGCTGTCGTCACCAATATTCACAATCATTGTCACCATGACCACCCCACCCCCGTCCAGGGCTGGGAAAAGAGCATCAGCTGATGAGTCTGCGTCACAAAATGTAGATTAAGTCAACAATGGTTCAAGTTCGGTCAGGATGTACTGCTTCCCACCATGGGAATATGGACCGCAGCTTTACACCATGAGCACCAGCGAACAATGGCAGCACCAACAGGTACATGGGTAAAAGAGCACGGCTCACAAACATCACAGTTAAACATAACCATACATTACTTCATACAAACAACAACAGCCGCCATTCGCTACGACGTGGCGGTGACGTCAACACGGCGCTAGTCTTAGGCCAGGTGCGCTCCCGAGGTCACGTGAAGTGTCGAAGGCTCGCCGACAGGTCAAGGCACAGACCCATGTACCAACATGGAACACGCAAAGGGACAAAAATGAGACGTACACTACTTCTCTACGCTGAGGTACTTCACGACACAGCCAATAAACCAAGGAAATAAGCAACATAAACAGACCCACGCCTTCACTCCCCCGTATACAGGGTTACTGCATGCCAACACGGCAAATTAAAAAGCCAACGGGAAAACAAACAGACCTACACCACCACTCAACTCTATACAGAGGCACTCCGCACCTCCGATTAGCACGGTTGGCTGCGTACGGTGTGAAAGAAGTACAACATACATGCATATTTCACGACGCAGCCAATGAGTCAAGTAAACACAAAACAGACTCACGCCATCAACTTAGCGCTATAGCGTACGGAGTAACTTCAAGACAAAGCCCACGGACTAAGCAAAACAGATAAATTAACAGATCCATGCTAATGCTCTAAATTAAACAGATGAGCTTAAAAGGCGAAAGCCGGCGGAACAAGTAAACAAAAACAAAGAGAAACCCCCACGCCACCACTCTACGATCGATACGGCGACTTCAAAGTGCAGCCCAATTACAGCCGTGCATAATCGCCACGAGTCGATAGTTTGAAGCCAATACGGTTCTGCGTGGGATTGTGGATTAGAAAAGTGCCTCTTCTGCGATCGATGGGACACTGAGGGGCGCTGCGATTTTGAAAGGGGGCAGACAGCGGCGGCATGACTGAGCGCCGCTTTGTTGCAGAGGTGTCACCATTCGAATCCAGCGGCCACCCTGATTATTACTGCGGTGGTGTGTAAAGTAATACCACGTAGACTAATACCACGCGCAGTCTGCTTCAGAGTGAACATTAACGTTCCTCTTCTTGGTTCTTTCGGTAAAGTCACGTAGAAGGAAAATAATAAAAATAAAACATAAAAAAGAATTCTCACGACGTTTCGGCCACAACGCGAGCAGCCGTCCTCAGGTGAAGAACAGGTCTGTCAGACTCTGTCTCCTCGACAGACCTGTTCTTCACCTGAGGACGGCTGCTTGCGTTGTGGCCGAAACGTCGTGAGAATAATTTTATTATGTTTTATTTTTATTATTTTCCTTCTACGTGACTTTACCGAAAGAACCAAGAAGATGAATCCCTGCAGTCACGTAAGCTTTAAATCGAAAATTAACGTTCCTCTGACGTAATTCACAAGAGTGCGCTATTGTGTCTAGCGTCAGGATCCAAATTCGCCAAATAAAAAAAAAAGACCAACAAAATTACATTTGGGGATATCATTGTACCCTACTTGAAGACGAATGTCCCATGTAACTATTCCAAATGAGTCAATAAACATGACCACTGGGTGCAACTGGTAACACATATCTCCTGGTTTTAAAATCTACCCCGTGAATTCCACCTGGATATTTTCTTTGAAAAACTGATAACAATGCTCATTGGGCTCCCGGCTGGTTCAAGAAAGGATATTGACATCTGACTGAATGTTCATGGGTGCAGTAATCATTTAATCAGACTGATATTACCACTCACAAGAAGGACGGACAGTCACAGGAGTCTGCAGTTTAGTGCTAACTTAAACCATATGAAGTACTCTAAACCTGGGCATTTCCTGGTAAGTACTCTCGCTAAAAGAGACAGTAAAAAAAACCTGTTATTCATATTCGTTGTTATTTGTTCTGTACATTCTCTAAAGGAACAACTTTCAAACAACAAAGACAAAGATGCCCCGTATAGCCTGTAACGGACTGTTGGGGCAAGTGCTATTAGCGAGCACCTATGAAGGCCAGAGTGGCACACAAGGGGGGGGGGTGGGTGGCCAGCACCACACCACAGCCTTAGTGTCCCGAGTGGCGATGTTTATTCACCGCACCAGGTACTCATTGGAGGCCGAGTCGACCTAGAGGTAGAGGAGGAGGCCTAGGACCAGTTCAGATAATTGTCACTGGTGTGTTGGCCATCAGCGGGAATTGAACTCTGGCTGGGTTCGTAGTGCAGCGCGCTAACCGCTACACTACCGTTCCCCACCAACCAACACACACACGGGACAGGGGTGTGGGTGTGAATGTTGTTTTTACAAAGCACCACACGGAGAAGCTGCTGCAGGGGAAGGAGGTGGAATGAAGAAGTTAAAGCTTTAGAAGGGCTTGCTAATAATCTCAAGAAGGCAAGGGAGGCAAAACTTGCATCGTTTGGGGTATCTGTTGAGAAGAGAGACAGATGATGTAATTAAGACTACTGAGATACTGCCAATGCAGGGCAGGTGAGGGATTATTATATGGAAGGATGTGGTGGACCAAGATATTAGGGCAGTGGATGCATGTTGAACCTCTTTAGCAATCTATGTAGCCAACCGCGCTAATTATCCGAGGCACAGAACAGATAAATATGAAGCAAATACGAGCGGAGTACCCTATGCAATCATGGATCCCTATGAAAGCCTATGTAAGTGTGGGCTTCTCATGCATGTCTTTATGGGTCTCTATGCAAGTCTCTAGGTCTCTATGTAAGACCAATGATCATGAGAGCGTACGCGAGTTCATAGGTCGTCATACAAGTCTATGGATCCCGATGCAAAGCTACTGTACGTGATGACGAAGAGTCACAGAATAGAACGGAAAGAGCGAATGCGAGCTGATGACCCAACGCAACAATGGGACTTGTGGCACAGAAGATGGAAATGTGCTGCAGCCGACACATTAAGACTCGGAAAGAGAGGCGAGCACATTAGGTGAGCTCAGCTGGTGTGCGGTGAACGGGCAACAACGCGGCCGCTCGGTACAAAATGTAATTCTGCGGGGCCGCGAGGGGTCATGGGTCAGACGAGCCTGCGGATGCTTGCTTTCCCCAACGCCCAGAGGCGTTAACATCTCATTGCACGGAGCTCGTATTGGGTACAGTCCCCAGTGTGCGTCTGTACTCGTGTAGCGCGCACACATTAAAATATGATAGAATACATGTGTACGCGTAGACGGGCAGAGAATTTTAGTTTTTTTTCATCAGGCGAGGGCTCTTTGAGGAAATAAGAGCTGGGAAAATGTAGCACAAGCACGTGGGCAAAACCAAAAGGTTAAAACATCTAAACATTGAAAAGGACATTGCAAAAGCCATACTCTTTTATGTCTGTGACATTAGGCATTCCAGTAGCATTTATTTAGCATGTATAACTGCTGATGAGACTGGAAAAAGTCAACACCTGTTTGCGTGCTTAAACAAATGCTGGGGAAAATGTTTTAACTGTGGGCTAAATGTGTTTTTCATCATAAAGGCAGACATACCTTTGTCTACGTAACATCTAAAAACATTTTAAAACGTTTGCCAATGTGAAACACAACTGCACTCCACAGGGAGAGGAATGCGTCCGAATGACTGACGTGTAACATATTCCATTAAAGCACCACTGCATTTATTGCGAATATGGGTCTGTTGACATTTATAATATAGCTTGTGAGCCACTGAAGATGTTTACACTGCTACACATAATAGGTTGTCATGGTTGCCTTGCTCAAGGAGTCGATGATGAGAATGCTCATGTCAGGAGAGAGCATCTGCAAGCGATGCACGTGTACACGTGTCTATAAATCAAATTGCCAAAGGAACACTGCGCCACTCCATTATAGCAGTCGTAGACAATGTATGTATGACTAGTGAAGAGCCCATATGACGAAAGTATATTGATCAAGAGAGAAAGACCATGGTTATTCTGGCCATCACTTAAATCTCGCTAATTAAGCGGCAGGCAGTTGGGAGCAAAACTTAAGGACGTTTTTGATTTGCTCAGCGAGAGCCACCAAAAAAGTCAGCCCTGTATATAGAGCTCATTGGGAATACTTCCAATTCCTAACAACCTCTCAGACATACAATGCATCTCAGACACAACAAAGATCCCCCGTATAGCCTGAACAGGCTGTTGCAGCAAGTGCTGTTAGCGAGCACCTATGAAGGCCGGCATGGCACACCAGGGGGTGGATGGTCAAATACACCATGCCCGACCGCCTTTGCCTCCCCAGTGGCGATGTTTTTACACAATGCACCAGATACTTATTTAAGGCTGAGTCGACCGAGGGGAGGCCCAGGACGGGTTGAGATAATTGTCACCGGTGTTGGCCGTGAGCTGGACTCGAACTCGGGTCGCCGGGTTCGTAGCGCGGCGCGCTAGCTGCTGCACGACCGCTCCATATACAGTTCCTAACAGCCTCTCACAGACATACAATGCGTCAAAGACAAAGATCCCCCGTGTAGCCTTAACAGACTGTAGGGGAAAGTGATGTTAGCGAGCATCTATGAAGGCCCGAACGGTACACGAGGGGGTGGGTGGCCAGCACCACGCCCGACCGCCTTTGTCTCCCTAGTGGTGATGTTTACACACCGCACCAGGTACTCATTTGAGGCCGAGTTGACCTACAATGCCTCTCACACATTCACACCACTCCACACACGCATGGACAGTCGGACGCAGTTTCACAATCACACACT